CGCGGGGCTCGGCGCCCGCCGGTGCCGTGCGGGGACCGCCGGTGCGGGCCCCAGCGGCGCGGCGGGGCCGGGGTGTTGTGACGGACCCCGCCGGTTCCCGGCCCCTTCCTGGAGCCGCAGACCCTCGGGGCGGCTCCGCCGGGACGGGGCGGGCGGGTCGGGGCGCCCAGGTGCGTCCTGTGAGAAACTCCGCGGAACTCGGTCACCTTCCGAAGCGGCCGCTCCGGGCCGGCTGCGGGGGGGTGGGCCCGGCCGGGCCCGGCGCTGCCGTCGGCGCCCCCCGCAATCCCCCGCCGCCCGAGGAGCCCCCGGCGCGGCTCACGGAGGGTGTCGGGGCGCGCTCTTCCTGTGAGGTGTGCGGGAAGAATGGGGACGATGGGAAAAGTATGGGAAGTGGTGTGTCAGCGGCGGCGGCAGGTGACAGCTCCCAGCACTGCTGCTGCCTGCCCTGAGCGTCACCGCTCACCCCGGGTCACCCGCCCGTCTGTGCGGGCCGTCGGGGTCCGGAGGCACCGGGAAGGGAGGGCACCGCTGCCCTTGGGACGGGCCGGTCCCGCGTTAGCCCGGGCGGGGGACGGAGACACCCGGGCAGAGACAACGGGCACGGAAAGGAGTGAGGGAAGAGCTTTGTGTTTCTTGCTGCTAAGTAGAAAAAATACCGATTTAATTAACAAATTAAACCACGTCTTTTGTTTTTTGCCAAAGCAAACATTTCAAAGTTTAATTTTTTAAATTTTTTTTTTTTTTTTTTTTTGTGAAAACAAAGCTAATAAAGGCCTTGGTTTGGTTGGGAGCCCCTGTGGCCCCTGAGGAGCGAGTCAGACAGTACGAAACATCTCTCTGCCGGAGAAGACACCTCTGGTCACCAGTCCCTGGGCTGTAGCGGGTGGCCACTCGGTGTCCTGGGTGGCCAGTTGGTGGCCCAAGGAGAGAACGAGGCAGCTCTAACTGGGCACTGAAACACTCCCATGTGCAGGGTGGGTCCAGCCCCGGGCTGAGCTGGAGCTGACAGCAGCTGGATGGGAACAAGATGCTGGGAAACTGGGCCGGCTCTCGGGGGGGCTGCCTCCCGCGGCGCCGGGGCGGGCGCCCGTTCAAGGAGCCAACCTGTTTGGGGCGAGCAGCGCTGCCGCCGCCATGGTTAGGCACCGTGTCCAAGAAACCAGCTCGGAGCCCCGTCTGCCCCCCACCCCCCCAGTTACCATGTCCCTTACCCTCCCTCCATCTCCTCCCCGCTGCCTCTGTGTCTCCCTGCAGTATTCCCGGGGGATCCCCACAGCACCAGTGCCCTCTGGGACAGGCTCCCCTCATCCTTCTGCTGGGGAAGGGACAGTTGGGAACGGGGATCCAGCCCCAAACAGCCAGGGAGAAAATCAGCTGGAGGCCTCAGCTGTTCCCACACCTGGGTTCTGGGTGGTGCAGTAGTTAGTGCTCATTGCTTTGCAGAAATAGTTGGGGCAGGACAGGATCCAGGTATCGTCTCTCCCAGGGAAGAGTCCACTCAAGAAATAGCTGTGTGATAGAGCATGGATCAGTTCCAGCGGGAAGGAATTGCGGGAGAGCTGTTCCTGTGGGGCTAGAAGGCTTACTGGAGAGGTGTGACACCAGTTCATCCCTGTACTGCCCAGCTAAAATATTCTACTGAAATTCAGTTTAATGGAACAAATAATTTTTCCTTTGAATGACAGGGGAGTAGATAAGAGATCTGAAGGGAATGTCACAGCCGTCACACCACCTTTCTCCTTAGATTGTTTTTTTTCCACTCAGTGCTAGTGAGACCTTAGAAGAGTTGTCCATCTGGACATCATCTTCAAAGGCCGTGCTGCAGGATGGGCGAGGAGAGGTGCGCAGTCTGAGCACCTTCACTGCGGAGGAACGAGCCCGGGGGGGATGTGGCTGTGCCTGCACCCAGAGGGATGGTCTGAAGAGGCCAAGGATCAAGGACTCCTGTTGGTCAAGAGTCAGGCTGTTAATAGGTTTAAGCTGCAGAAGGAAAACTCCAGTCTGAAAATTAAGAAAATTATATAACTGGAGGAAAAGTTAGACAGTGGAACCTGCTGCCAAGACAGAGGTTGTGAAACTGGAGATATTCAAGGCGAGACACCCGTCTGTCAGGGATGGCTCTGGAATAACTGAGTAAAGGCAGTGAACAATGCAAACAGCTTGACTAGATGACCCAGTAACAGTCCCTTCCAACCCAAATATGTTCAAGAGGCTTCTGAATATAGTTGGCAGCTCGTCTGCTTCCAGCCCGGTTGCGCTGTTACTGCAGATGTACCTCCAGCACCTCACGCCCGCGCCGGGAGGGGTAAACTGGAGCTGAAGTGAGCACCTCTCTCTAATGGCATTTTTTTCCCTCCTAGGTTCACCTTGCCCTTAATCCATGTGAAGTCCCGTTGGGAGCACCTTCTAGAACCAGCACAGTCTCTGGTCTCTAATAAATCGTGTTGTGTCCAAGGAGAGCCCGTCCAAATGAGCAAGACATCGCAGCAGAACAGCGCTGCAGATGCCCACGGAGTGAGCGTGATCCACAGCCAGCCCCACGGCAGCGGTCTGCAGCAGGTCCCCCAGCTGGTGCCCGTCAGCCCCGGCGGCGGCGGCAAAGCCGTGCCCCCCAGCAAGCAGGGCAAGAAAAACTCCTTTGTGGATAGAAACAGTGACGAGTATCGTCAGCGCAGAGAGAGAAACAACATGGCAGTGAAAAAGAGCCGGTTAAAGAGCAAGCAGAAGGCACAGGACACGCTGCAAAGGGTCAACCAGCTCAAAGAAGAAAACGAACGTTTAGAGGCAAAAATTAAGCTCCTGACGAAGGAGCTGAGCGTACTGAAAGACTTGTTCCTGGAGCATGCCCACAACCTGGCAGACACCGTGCAGCCCGTCGGCACCGAGGCCAGCGCCGCAGACCCCGACAGCAAGGGGCAGTAGGGGCGGTGGGACCCCCACGGACTCCCCCCGGGCAGCTCCGCCGCAGCCTCCCAGCCACCCAGCACAAACTCTCTTCTTTTAACCATCCTTTTGTGGAGATTTTCTTCTTCTTAGGTTTAACACTGAAGATTTGATACGATTAAACCAGAAACTGCTTCGGGCATTTGTTTTAAATATTTTTCTCCTCTAAAAGACTCCTCTAATAAACGCAGATCTAAATTCATAGCCCACAAGGAGCTTAGAATTAGGGAAATAGCATTTTCACAGAAATGTTCACTTACCTTCTTACAGCCTGCCTCACGGGAGGAATCCAGCAGGATGGGTCACTGTAGCATCAGAAACTCAGAGTGGGATAAAACATCTTTTAAATACCTTTTTGTGTATTTAAGCCCTTTGCTTTCCCCATTACACGTTACACAGCTGCAAAGGCCGGTGTTTGCTTTCCTCTTTGGAGGAGAACATGAATCTGCAGAGCGAGTCCTGTAAAGCAGCAGGTGGGTCATTCCTGTGGGTGATGTGGGGGGCAGCACTGGGGGGCCTGCGGGAGAGCAGCAGCACAGCCTGGGGGTCCCAGCCGGGCCCGAAGCACCGCGCTCAGGAGGGGCAGCAGCAGCGACAGAGCCCCTGACGCCCCTGCGCACGCTGCTCGGGCGGTGACTGGGGCCTTGTGAGGACAAGAGTTTGGTTTTCAAAAATGTCAAAACGCTACCAAAAACCTGCTCTGCAGAACGGCCTTCTCACTGGGGCCAGGTCCCGGGGGGAAGGGGCAGAGGGGCTCGGCGCAGCGGTGAGGGGGGGAGAGCCCCCGACCAGCCCCACTGCGTGGGTCGCTGCTGGGCATCGCCACTTTCACGGCTCTTCACATCTGCAACCGAGATCTTGCAGAAATTCATGGCTATTTTGAAAATAAATGGCCCTAGTTTGGGTAACTGACCCAGTGGGATTTCTACAGCCCCACACACAGCCCCCCCCAATGCCCCCCCAGCTGCGTGAGGGCGTATCCTCGGGCTCGGGTTATTTTCATAAGTTTTTCTATAGCAACTTTTTTAATGCTAGTGCTAAGTCTTTGCCACGATCCTAGCGCAGTGCCATGTACTATAGCAAGGAGTTAAATGATAAAAGGAAAGCAGGAACTTGGACGTAACCTTAATTTATTTTCATTTTTAAATATTGCGTTGAAGGTCTGGCTGTTCCGTTGAGCCCGTGTCCGGCTGCTGGATTCCTGCACCGTCCTCATTTCCCTCCTACACTCCCCTTTCCCATAGGTTATTTTGTAGGATGCTTGTTTGCCTCGTATCTGTACTTAGGAAGAGAACTCGGATATTATCTCTATGAAGATGCTGGTAGAAAATGAAACCTTGAAAAGTTCTTTTTGAATTTAAACTTTTAATACACGTGGAAAACTTTTCTGGATTGTTTTGGATTATGATAGTCTTTTTACAAAGATCTGTTTTTTGGTTCTAGCTGCCGCTTCAGTAGGTAGGGTTGAAATACCAGAAGCCAATAAAAACCTTTTGCTCCTCGTGCTGGCTCCGTTTTTCCTCCCCCTTCCCTGTTTCCCTGAAAAGCAGAGGTGCCCACCACAAACAGTGATCTTTGAGAAATCAGTGCCTCTGTCTCTGCCTTCCCCTGAGGTTTTTACTCAATGGAAAGAGTCAGAAACTCATCACAGTTTTGGCTGAATTCCTGATGTAATAAAATAATTTAAATAATTTAAGACTGAAAATGTATTACCATTCAAGAGAGGGGGGCAAGGGAAGCTGTGCTGCCTGAGAACTCCCACACCTTGGTGGCTTGGGCGAGTCTCTGTTCCTAAAGAAAGGCTGGAATAAATGCACAGCTACACAAGGGAATTTCAGCGTAGCCCATAAAAGTTAAGGTCATCCTTTTGTCACCGTTTTCTTAACAGCTCTCACCTGTGACAGACTCCAGTCTGTCCCTGCATGGGGGACGTTCCAGCTCCTCATTCCTGTTCTCTCCCTGCAGCACAAAGGGCCGGGGGCTGCTCCTGCCCCGTGGGCACCGGGAGCCTCCCCGTCACCCAGCCCCGGTGTCCGTGCAGAGACACCCCGTATGCCTGGCCCCGGGCGCAGGCAGGTGAACGGAGCCGACCCCGTGTGCCCGGCCCCGGGCGCAGGCAGGTGAACGGAGCCGTTGAGCAGCGCTCGGAGCTCCCTGAGCACACAGCCCTGCTCACCCCAACAGCTCCCACTGTTCTGCTCTATTCCCCCATCTGCACCACGGGCAAAGGCACGTGGGGCGAGACACCGGCTGCCAGCCTGAAACACCCTCCTGGCCTCAGAAAGAAAGTTTGCCATCATTACTTTCCCCCACTAACACATTTAACTGCACTAAGTATCACTTTGCCTTTTTTTAAAGGTTTATTTTCCTGCCCTCCTCCCTCCGCTAATTTAGGAAAAAAAAGTTCTAATTCACTTTTTGCTGAAGTGGGTAAGAATTACCAGAATTGAGCAGGCTCCCGGGGCAGTGGGGCAGGGAAAGGGGCGCGGGGGCAGCCCCAGCCCCAGCCCGGGCCAGGGAGCGTGTCGGGGCAGGACCCGCTCTGTCCCCCGATGGCCCGACCTGTTCTGCAGGAGCCGGGCGGCGGGTGCCAGGGCTCAGCACGGGCAGGGAAAGGCCTGTGAACACACCGGGGCTACAGCTGCCTTCAAACACTTCCAAAACTTTTTTTTTTTTTTTTTCTTTTCAGAAATATCTGTGAAGTGTTAGTTTAAAGCAGAACCTGCTGCCGAGCTCCTGCTCCAGTGGGTTCCGGAGGGCCCTGAGGCAGTTTTTTTTTTGTCTTTTCAGAAAAATCTGTGAAGTGTTAGTTTAAAGCAGAACCTGCTGCCGAGCTCCTGCTCCAGTGGGTTCCGGAGGGCCCTGAGGCAGGAGCCATCCCACGGGTGGGCTCGGAGCCTCAATGGGGAGGCACTGGGACTGGGGGGGACAAGACAGAGACCCCCAGTGTCGCTTCCACACAGAAACCCCCCTGGGCTTCAGGGGGAGACACAGCACCCGTGCGGTTCCTGCACAACCCCATGTCCCCTGCACAGGGACAATGTCCCAGAGGCCACCACGGAAGGAAGTGTCAGCACCACTGCACTTCCACCCTCTCCTCACCACTTCCCCTTCGCACTGAGCCCCCCCCCACACACTTACCTCTCACAGCAACCTTAAAAAAAACATTAATAGGCTCATTTTTCAATAAAGTGACGCTGGGCACAGGGAGTGAAGTCCCCTGGAGTCTTGCATCGTGTGCTGCCTTGGGCTCCAACACACAGCCCGATGACCAACCAGCAGTGTTGGTGCTTTCATAAATTGAGCAAGATTATTTTTATGTAGTTACAGCAACTAGTGCTGTTTCGTGATGCAAGAAATATATTTACTCTCCTGCAGGCTGGTGAACACCGCAGTAAAGAAAGGCTTCGCTGGGTAATTTAAATCTTGCATCAATGGAACATCATTCTATGATGATTATTAGCATGTTCGTGGTGTATCCAAATAAAATTTACATGACTCCATTCTGAACTGGCAAACACTGGGCAGTTCCAAATAACCCCGTCCTTCTGCAGAGTGTCCTCTGCTGGGGGACCCCGAGCCCCAGAGCAGCTACTGCCTCCTGCCCCTTCCCAGGGCTCACGGAGACCCCAGCAATGGACAGACAGACGGACACCTCTGATGGACAGGGGGTGCGAAGGAGCAGACACGTCTGGCCAATGAAGGGTCAGAGCTTCCAGAGCACAAACTGGTAGAAAGGTCAGATGAAGAAGCAGCAGTGGGAGCAGAAGAGCTTAATGATCACAAAGTTGTGAGCGTGAATGATGCCAAAGACAAATTTTAATAAAAATTTGATTGTGCTTACTCCATTGACACTGAAATAAGATCTGTAAGAAAAATATAAGTGTCATTATGTCTCCCGCGTACTGCTGATTCTTCTCCTGGGTTTTTTGTGGTGCTTGTGATGAATTTAAGAAAGGACTTTGGTGGGAACAATTACTGACAGCGTTCAGATAATCTATCTGGTATTTTAAAGAGTCCCAATCATCAAAACTCAGATTTAATTGCAAGATATGTCGAGCTGGGATCTGACAGAAGCGTCAGTCCCCCTGACAAGGCAGCAGGTCACTGGGGTGGTAACTCGGGAACGGAACCTGCTGACGGGAGCAGCAGCATTTGATACCTGGACACCGAGCGTGAAGCCTTCTACATTCATTTTTAATTAATTAATCAATCACTCCAGCCAAGAGCCTGCCTGCCTCTCTTGCTATTAAGAATTGGATGCCTTTTACTTGATACGCTGCAGCATGAAATCAGAGTGACAACTAATTAGTGTGAGACTAAGCACCCTCCCCGAGCTCACTGCCTGTGGCTGGAGAGGCCGTCGAAAGCCTTGGTGCCGCTTCGGGCTTCGGCCATGAACGCCTCGATCTCCTCCACGGTGCGCGGGACGCAGGTCAGCAGCTCCATCCCGTTGGCCGTCACCGCGATGTCGTCCTCGATCCGCACCTGCCACGGGGAAGAGGCGGTTACGGGGGGCTGCAGACGGGGTGCAGAGCCCCTCGGGCACCACCAGCACCGAGCTCTGCAGGGCCTGACCCCCCCGGGCTCCCGCCACCCTCCTGGGGTGACAGCAGCCCCATGGTGACCCCCATGGGGTCAGGTGGTGGCCCTGCAGGGGACGGGGTGGTGCCTCGTGAGGTTCACCAGGGATGGTTGAGACCTGCTCCTGTCCCGAAACTCCATACACTTCCAAAGGAGGAACTGCAACATGAAATAGCTCGTAGCTGATGTTCAAAAGGTTGAATTTTGAGCTGATGAGAAAGCCCTAAGCGTGTCAGATATTCCTTTTAAAATACAATCACTGCATTTCAAGCCACGCAAGAAAAAAGCAGGTCCTCTCCATTTTCCAGCTCTTGTTCTGCTGAAATGAAAAGTATGCTCCGTTCCTGTTTGACCCTAATCTCTTCTCACCAGTAAATACGCCCACACAGTCATTTCCCGTTATCTTATCAGAAAAATGTTAGTAAGTCGCTAAGCTGCAATAAAAGCAATTTTAGTAAGGTGTAAATCCTACAGAACACAAACTCCGGGGACTCCCACCTTACAGTTGCTCTAATTGTTTCTGACCTCTTGACATTCTCAACTAAAAATAAAGCTGGTTAACATTTGTACTCCTGATTGCAAAATAATCCATTTGTTCAAACAAAATGAGTCATCCAGTCCTTATTAAACTGTTTGATGATGTCTCTGCCAGATTATTTCTTTTCCTTGGTATCGCGTTAAGTGCATTATAAAGCAGAATTGAATAAACAAACCCCACGGAGTTCGCACATTTGCTTGGGGCGGCTGTGAATGGGAAAGGCCCTTCGGTGGGTGCAGAGGGGGACACGGGATCCCACAGACCTCACCGGGGGGACACCCACCCACTGCCTTGGGTTTGGCTGAGCAGAATAACCCAGGGATTCAGCAGGACGGTCAGGCTGTACCTACAGTGGCCACCTAAAGGTGGTCTCCTGGCAGCAGCCCAGCCCCTGCCAGCCCCGCACGGTGCCAGGACCCGGGGGACAGGTCTGGGGACAGGTAACAGGTAACGCATCCCAAGCACAGCGGTGCCAGCGCCCACGGGGGAAGTAAAAATGTCAGTGCCAAAGCCAGTCCCAGTGCAGAGACGAGGCGGCCAAAGCTGGAGCTGATGCTCCTGAGAGAGAGTCTCTCCCGAGCACCCCCGGCCTCACAAACTGCACAAAAAAAAGAGTAAGAGCTGCTGGTGTTGCCCAGCTGGTGTTACAGGCCGTCACCGACACCTCGGCGCTCCCCGAGAGGCCGGGCTGGTGAGAGCAGAGCAGATGGAACCAGACCTGGGGGTACCAAGGTGTCTGCCAGCCCCGTGTCCCACCTGGTGCGCAGGAGAAACAAGGCTGGGGAAGGAGCTGGAGAATGGAGCTGGGGTGAGGAAAGGAGCCAGGGGAGGAAGATACAGGATTGATGAACATCGGACAAAGAGAGACGGGGCTGTGAGAGGGTCCAGGGGGAGATGCAGGGGGAGGTGAGGAGCGAGACACAGCGAGAAGGGAACAGGGGGGCTGGAGCTGGGGACGGAGAGTCACCAAATGGGGGAGGACGGGGACACCCAGCAGTTTGGGGTGGTACCCACAGCAGCTCATGGCAGAGGAGGAACGTTGTGAGGAGATCAAATCATCAGTCCACAGCTGTGGGTTACTGTGAGAAGTGGGAGAGGCAGCACTGTCTCACCAGCCTGTCACCATCAACAGCTCCAGAGGGTCTTTGGGAGGCAGCTGGGGGGGCACAGACCCACCGCTCCCATGGGCCTCACCCTCCCAACCCCCAGCTCCTTCTCCAGGATCTAACCATTGCTCTGCCAGGATGGATCTCACCTGAACTGAGTGCTTGCCCCAGCAGAGCAGAGAGACCTCCCGCAAGAACAAAGGACACACACCATTCTCTAGGGGGGAGAGATCTCTGCATTTGCTCTTTTCCTTCACCCTGAGCTGAAGTTCAGCAGCAGCTTCAGGGGACCTGCAAAACCTTCCTACCGGAGAGCCCGGCGTCTGGTCTTGTCTGCTGTCCAAATGGACAAAAGATGCTGGCTGTGGCTGGCAGGGCTCGCTGGCGGGGGACGGCCGTTGTGAAACGCGCTCTCGGCCCGTCCCCGTTTGCAGGCTCTTCGTGCTGCTCCTTGGAAGGGACACGGCTGGAAGGCAGAGCAGGGCGAGGTGTGGGGTTCAGGCCCCTGCACACACCCCGGGCTTCGCCTTCTCGGGGTGAAATGGCGCGCTCGGAAAAGCACCCCCGAGGAGGGGAAGAGGCCGGGAATGCCAGGACTGTCCCTAAAACGCCTTTCCCTTATCAGGGGCAGTGGCATGATCTGTCTGGATGGACCCGATTGCACAACTGCCCAGCGCCAGCAGCAGGCCGTCATGTGGCTCGACCGGGTGGCCCCAGCCGTGTCCTGGAGCGGGGCTGGGGGACACGGCCAGGGATGGCCCCCCGGGAGCGGAACAGCGGGGCCACCCTCACCCCCCGACAGCCTCACGCTTTGTCCCCACTCACCAGCGCACCCACGCTCCCAGAGCCCCCGCCGTGTCCTGAGGGAAGGGGGCTGGAGCACCCCTTCGCTCCCTTTGGATGACGATAGATACAAAAGGCTTTTGAGAATCAAGAAAGAATTTTGGCCAATTGACTAGTCCAGATTTGCACAATGACAGATCCCAGATGGGATTTAAAAAGAGCACTGGTGACACGTCTCACTTCTGTCTCACTCTGTCGAGCGTCAGTTTGATCACAGCTGTGCATCCCACATCACGGGAAACAGCAGCACCAGGATGTTTCTGTAGGGACTTGTGCCACACAAGGACTCTCATCCCACGTGCCAGCCCTCCTTCTTCTGCGTCACGAGCAGCTCCTCACATTAGGCACGCTTTATTCTAAAGGTCCACATACAAATGTTTTATGGAAGAGGGTCGGGAACAGCAGGGTGAGGCCATGGATTTCATTAGACCCACTGATAGGGCTGGGAAAAGACGCCTCAGGCACACAGTCCCTTCGTCCAGGCTCAAAAAGAAGCAATAAACTATAAGCTAAATACAGGTTAGAAACAGCTGCTCTTACTTCAACCTCATTATCTTAATTAGACAACTTAAGAGAAAAGGGTTAAAGGTTTATAAGCAACTAGTCGCTGGTTTTGGGTTGCTTATAACTATCGCTTCTCTTAAAAGCAAGCCATCCATTTCATTATGGCAACTGCTTTTCTAGGAAAACTTTTCAAAAAGATGCTGTGTAGCATTATTACTGCTGCATAATATGAAAAGTTAAAAAGCAGATGAGCATTATGTTTATTGCCTGGTAAATCATTTCATTCCACAACACACACTCAGCATAAACCCAGAAGCAGCTCAGCCTTCTGAAAAATGAAAACCAGGACGACTGCAGGTCTGTGACCCAAAGGTAGAAGCAATCAAACACCCTGCTTTTTATCTGCTTTAAGATTTGTTCCTGAGTAAGGGAAATACTATTGTTGTGAAAAATACTATAATATTAGCGGATCTTCAAGGTCCTGGGCTTTGTACATCTACTTAACTTTTAAAGGAGAAAAATCTGCAAATTAAAAAAAGCATTTAGCTGTCTTTCAGCATTTTCTCTGACTTGCATGGAGTTTTCACACATTAAGCCTAGTGCTGGTTGTACAAATCCTAGGGAAACCAAAGCCTGAACAGAGACTGAGCATTATTTAAGGCCAGGAATGGCTGACTGGGGTGAGACAGCGCCGTAGGCAGCGCGGTGTGAGCTGCTCCCCGGGGCTGTCCCCCCGCACCCGGCTCCGCACCCCGTGTCCGAGCGGCGCGGGAGGGCCCAGGCGGAGCAGAGGTGCCTGGGGACGGGGCGGGCGCCAGCCCCGACGGCAGCCCTTGCCCCACAGAGTCCGTGACCTCGGGGAGCCCCGTCTGGCAGAGGGAGAACCCCAGTGCGTGTGACCGAGGGACCTCTGAGAGGCTGCGGGGGACGGAGCCCAGCGCAGGGCTTTGGGCTTCGGAGAGGGCAGCCCGTGCTCTTGGCAGCAGACCCCCGAGCAACACTCCTTGCCCTGCTCCAGAGGGAGCAGTGTTCAACCCAGAACAGACTGTGCTTGGTCAAAGCCCACCTTAGGAGGTCCCTGAGCAGCAGCCCCAGCGGGAAGGCCGGGTGTGTGGAGGCTCCTCCATGGCCAGCCCAGGAGAAGGTCCTGCCCTCAGCAGCTCCCCATGGCCAACACCAGGCAGCACCAGCTACGGCACAGGGCTGCATCCTGCCCCTGTCTGGCACGGCAAAAGGGCTGCTCCTCTCAATGCACAGACTTGTCACAGTCAAGAAAATTATCCAAAGCCCAAAAAAGACATGAATTCGAGGTGAATTCATTAAAATCCACAAATCCCCTGTGTGGACACTCTTACTCAGAATTACAGTGCTGTTACCTTGGCTAATGCAGCTTCATTTTTGAAGTGAATTAAACTAAACCAAATTAAGAACATTTTAATTAGTGCTGAGCTCTGCAGAAGGAAATGCACTACTTATTTCCTTTAGTACAATGCCTTTTTCTTTTAAACTTACAGGAAGATTGGGTTGGCTGTAGTGAGCTCTTCAGCTAGAACTGACACCAACCTAACCCCTGCACCACTAACACTAAGCCCTGTAAAAACACTGGATCTTCACAAGATCTTTTTTAATCACGTAGAGAGAAAGTTTCCCTACATGCTTTTGAGAGAAACACTCACTCATTCTGGATAAACTAGAACGAACCAGCATGTAGAAAACTAAGCATGCTACACACCACAAACTGTATCTTCTACTTATGCAGAACCAAGTCAGAACTGTAAAGATGGAAAAATTCATTTTGATTGCATTATAATTCAGCTTTTGTGTAGAATTCAGAAATATTCAGATGTACTTCAGTCTCAGATTTTATTTCCATTCTTCTCCTGGACAAAATCAAGTGACAACATCTGGCTCAGAGTATGTGTGTATTACTATTTTTTTCTCTCTAAGTAAAATGTATTGTTCACAGGGGGATCGGAGATTTAGATTTTTGCTCAATCGTTTTTGGGCAGCTCTCCCTTTTAGCGAAGTTTGTTGGCGAGCTCTCCTCACCAGTCATCGTTACAGGAAGCTCAGCAAAAATCGGGAGAAAGTTAGACTTTGCTTGAAATCTCTGGAACAAAAGTGCCTGATGCAGCCACTGACAGTCAGGGCAGAGCTCTGCGCCGTCCCCTGCTCCACGCCACGGCAGCCACGTGCACGCCTCGAGCTGCAGCGCTGGGGCAGGCGCTCCCAGACAGCCACGGAGGAACCTGGGCTCTGCTGAGCATTTCCAGAGAAACCTCACCAGGAACCAATTCAGCGACCCAAAAACTCCTGCAGAGCATTGACACGGGAAGCCAAGACAGTCAAACCTGTTCTGGTTGCGGTGTGAAGCCACACAAGTGCGTTACAGCCTTTCTCTGAAACACCCTCCAGCGTGCGGTGCCGTGTAACGTGCTCCCCGGAGAAAATGCAGAGTTTGCTGCCTTTCCTTCACCAGGAAGGCTGGCAAGGCTTGATAAGGAAACAGCACAGAGACAGATAATGTCCCAGACCTCAGCAGAAAGGTAAATACCAGCGAGGGCTTGACAGGGCTGCAGAGATGGCATGGGGACCCTTGGCGGGGGCTGCCCGGGAGCCCATGGCACACACAGCTCTGCTGGGTCTCCTCTGGCTGGTGCTTCAAAGCCAGCTCAGACCAAAAGCCTCACAGTAATGACCCTCTCACGCTGGCGAACAGCGATGAATTAGTGGATGGCAGCAGCAGACAATTCCTAATGAATGACTTCTCATACCAGAAAGTCCCTGTTGCTGCCAGCGATTGTTAGCTGTGCGGGGAGCCAGCAGCAGAGCCGGGCGGAGGACGGGGCAGGGGCTGCCTGCTCTATCTTCTCTGGGCGCGCATACGGGAGCTCAGGGAACAACGCAGCACCCCTTGGATGCTCACCCCACTGAAATGAAAACCCACTGGAAGCCCCTGCAACTGCTGAACGCCCTGCCAGGGTGGTGGCTTGGAGTGGGGAATGTGCCCTGGAGAGCGTGGAGAACCGAGGCCCCTCTGCTCGCGTGGCAGAACGATGGCCGGGACGGTGGCACCTCCTGAGCCAGCCAGCCTTCCCGTGCCCGGTGCTGCCAGAGCCTGCCCTGGGACACCTCCAGCAGGGGAGCTTGCCAGGAGCCATTGGCCATCTCCTTGGAAAACAGGGACAGGCTTTACATTCACAAGTCCAGTAAAACCAATTGTTGCTGATTTTCTCTACTGCGTCCCCATCTCAAACAGCGCTGGGCTCTGCTGCCCAGGGAGGGAGCACCGCACTGTGCCGCTGTCGAGGAAGCTCACTCTGGAACATGGATCTCAGCCTCCTGTTCCTGACACACGTCTCACACATCAGACCAAACACCTACCTGGCAAGGACAGCGCTGACCGAAGGCATTTCAATCAATGGAAAGATATGGGTCTACCATTAATCAGATATCACAAGTATAAAACCTCATTTAAAAACAACAAACAAAGCGCCCAGTTTTTCTGCAGGGTCAAGCGGCCCAAGGTGCTGCTTCGGGATCAGCCCTTCACGCAACACGTTACCACTTCCCACAGATTTCTCCTCAAGCACACAGCAGAGGCAAACAGACAGAAAAGCCATCTCAGAAGCATGTGGCTGGGAATCACTCACCCCACCGAAGCCTCTGAAGCGCTGCAGGACGTTGTTGTTGATGAAGCAGGACTGCGCGGGGTCCCGCAGGGCTTGGTCCAGGAGGTGGTCGATGAAGTAGATGCCCGGCTCGATGGTGAGGACCATGCCCTGCTGCAGGCTGCGGGCGGTGCGCAGGCTGCGCAGCCCCGGCAGGTCGATGCGCTCCACTCCCTGCGGAAGAGACGCCGTTGGGAGACGGAAAGGCAGCCCCTGCTGACCCCCCCCCGGCTGCGGCTCTGAGAGACCCCCAACACAGCAGGCAGAGGGGAGCAGAGACTGAACCCCCGCTGTGTCCCTCCCTCCCTCACACAGCTCTCACCTACAGCCGGGACCACCTTCCAGCTCAACACCCAAACCCGGTTTTGCACCCCAGAAACCCTGGGTTTGGGCATTTCTGGTACTGCCACTCTCTGCTGGGAGAAGTGCTGCAGCACAGAGGAACAAGAGTGACCTGCACCATTTCTGTCTGTACCCTCCCCTGCAAAGGGCAGTACTTTAAGCGATGGGCAAATCTGGAAATGCCCCCTCCACGTCCTGGCTGAAGGAGCAGAACCGTGCAGCAGGGAACAGTTTCTCCAAGGATATGCAAATGCTTATTCTCACTGAATGTTATGAAAATTACACATTTATGATCTTGATTCAGGAGCAATGAGTCTACACATGACCTCATAAAAGCAGCCCATTTAAAACTAAACTTTTGTCAGATTCAGACTTTCAGGCAACACGGTGCTGACTGATATTATTAAAAACTAAGTCAAAACAAGTCCTGACTAGCAAAACATTCTCTTCTTCCCAAAAGCTGGTAGAGTAAAATGATATATGAGGACGTGCTTACTCAAGGAACTAGAAACACTGCAAAGACTAGCTCAGGATATTAATTTCATTCCCCCAGATGTGCCAGGTATTGCAACATCGGAATAAATATATCTCAATCCCATCAGCTTTCTGAAAATTCTTTGCAACCGTAGCAAAATTTCATCAACAAGGTTTGGTGATGACCAGTAAACAGTTTGCAGGCCGCACACCTCGCTGGGGAGAACTCCCCGCCTCAGCCTCTAGGTCACAGAATCACAGAAGGGTTTGGGTTGGAAGGGACCTTAAAGCCCCCCCAGTGCCACCCCCTGCCCTGGGCAGGGACACCTCCCACCACACCAGGTTGCTCCAAGCCCCCTCCAACCTGGCCTTGAACCCCTCCAGGGATGGGGCAGCCACAGCTTCTCGGGGCAACCTGGGCCGGGCTCTCACCACCCTCACACCAAACAAGTTCTTCCCCACAGCTCAGCTCCCTCTCCCCTCTCTCAGTGTCAAACCCTTCCCCCTCATCCTATGGCTCCCTTTCCTGATCCAGAGTCCCTCCCCAGCTTTCCTGGAGCCCCTTGAGGGACTGGAAGGGGCTCCAAGGTGTCCCCGGAGCCTTCTCTTCTCCATCCCTCCTGGCCGGCAGAGGTGGTGGGAGATGCCCTCACATCTCCCAGGGTTCCCCCTCAGCACACCCTTGGCTCCGCAGAGGGCAGACACCCTGCAGTACTGTTTGCTCCTCACCGTTCAGCCTAGAGAAACCCCATTTCACAGAAATCCTGCTCCCAGTAGCTGCTGGGCAGCGTGCTCTCCCCTTGCCGGGGACGTGCTTCCCCTTGGCAGAGCTTCTGAGCCACCCCACTGCCTCCAGCAGCAGCCAAGGTTTCCAAAGCCCACCAGCCCGGGCACCCATGGGCAGCTTTGCCCATTTTTCAGAGATGTGGAGCGTTTTCACAAGCGCACCCTCACCATCTCCTCTGGGCACTCCACTCATTTTGTTTCGTGTGTCCGAGCTGAATTCTGCAGAGCAGGATATTACACTCACGTAAGAAAGCACGATTTTGTTTCACCGAGGACACAAGAAGACTCTGATATTAAGCAAGGCACTTTGCATTTATATTCTTATCAAAACCCAGAGAGAATCAATATATTTCTGAACTTGAAACAATAACTGCACTGAAACGGAGCCATTTCTCCTGCTGCTGCTGCCCCATGGGGTTTGGCATCTCACACATTCATTGTGATGTGCAGAGGAAACGAGGGCATCCAATCTTGTGGATTAATCTCTCCATGAGCTGTAAACAATTAGATTAGTGTCTGGACCTTTTGGTGTCTTGCCAACTATCTATCGGCTGCTTTACAACAAACAACCCCTATTTGGCTTTTAAGGGCACTTCTCTTCAGTTTCACTTGTAAACGCCGTCTCCGAGGCGGTCGGTGCGAGGCAGATGCCAGCAGGAGGAATGCGGAGGGAGGGAACGATGGCAACCACCCTCTGCAGGCAGCCCCAAGGAGAGGGACCCCAAGCCAACTTGAGGAGGACAGCCCCAAGCCAACTTGAGGAGGACAGCCCCAAGCCAACTTGCTGTAGGGCTGATGGACAATGTGAGCTGGGACAGGGAACAAGCAGAGTGGGGAAGGGGGAAGGTGACCAAGCCAGGGAGATGACAGAATTCCTTCTTCTAAGAACAGCACTGGATTGAACCAACCAGACAATGGCTTCAGCAGCCCAAATGACATCTGATCTCTGGGCACTCTTGGTAGACACCGTGGCCATCAGGTCCAGGAGCTGGCAGTTCTCAGCTCTCAGTCTGCTTCAGTTGTTTATGAAAACTGGAGCAAACTGAGGATTTTTTTAATGACTGAAACCCCACCATCCCCAAACAGAAGGCGACAGGTCTGAAACAAGGACATTGCCATTTTCCACCAAGTCAAAGCCTCGCACTGTCACCCATCGCTATGGACCTTCTGCCATTAACGGATTTCCTTCTTTGTGGGGAGGAAATGTCCTTCCATATTGCAGCTAAACACCTAACACCTTCTTCTCAACAACAACCATGATGGTGTTTTGCAGCTGGATGGGATTAAGAGTAAGAAGCACGAGCGCTGGCGCAGCAGCGGGGCGAGTATCTGGTACTACCTTATCTCCTGGAGGCCTGGCCACAGAGCAGGACCCCGTCACACTCAGTGCTGTACAACTGAAAAGCTGGTAATTTGCCTCAAAATAGTGTAGAGAATAACCTAGAAAATATTAACACCTAGGAATCTAAAAAGAGACTCCCAGTGACATTCTGGGAAACTGACTTTTTGTAGAACTGTTTATTTTCCCGTACACTGCAACAACAGACTGTATCCGAAATTGTTTTCTAAGAGTGATTTTATTTGGAGGTTCTGCTCACATTTTAGAACTGAGACACTCCCCCCGCAGTGAGCACAGATGTATGACACTGTCATTTGTGACTGTACTCCTGCCAAGAACATCAGATTCCAATTAATGGTTCATGTAAGGTAACAAAAAACAGCCTGTCTAGGCAATAAGGACTGTCAAGGGAACAAGAGAATTATTATGTAAACTGATTTCATTACTATGTAAGCAAAATAAAAGTTCAAATTAAGTGTGCAGTAATAGAAAATATAGATCTATTTTTGGAATAAGCAGGGAATTAGGAAGTATGCAAATATGCCTCTTCCCCAGAAAAGTGGCCGTGGAAGCCCAGAAGTCACAGTAACTCTGCAGTACTTCAGTATAAGGCTGAATGACCGCCTGCTCCTCGGCACCTCAGTGGTTAATGGGGTACACACTGCTTTTTCCGTGGAAGAGCTGCAATAGGTGTCCTGCTGGATCTTGTCCCACAGACACCCGCTACCGGGCAAAGCCATCAGAGGCAGGAACAGCTCCAGCCCCGCTTGGGAGAGCTCATCTTGGGTCTGTCTTTGGGAGAGGACGCAAGAAAACCATGGGTGACGTCCCTGTGCCAGCTGGGGATGGCAGGGCCACCCTCCCTCCTGGAAGCAGGGGCTGCAACACCGAGGTGGCACCACCCAGAGGGTTCCTCCAGCCAGCAGTGGCAGAGACACACGGCCTGGGCAGAGATCACCAACACTACCCGTGACTGCAAACACCCAGCCACAGTAAAAGACTCACGTAGAGACACAAACTACTTTCTGGTACCTTTTTCCAGCTGAATCATCACTGAACTTTTTTTGAGCCTGACAAATAGACTGTCACAGTTGGATCACATCCAATACAGCAAAGTCCTAACCATTTTACCGAACTAAGTGCAATCAAGAATTTAAATTAGTCAGGATACTAACATTATATTTAGATTATAAGAAATCAACACCAAATTGAAATCCCAGCACTTCCATTCTTCCCGGTTCTCCCACTGTGTGTACCCAACTTCTAATTAGCTCATTTACTGTAAAAAGCACGGAGCCCTCTGCAGCTAATAAAATAAAATAAAAGCCTCGAGTTCCATTTCGCTTGTCTGCTGGTCCCTTCTCTCTAAGCCCTCGTTTCTCTCGCCGAGTGCTGCTAATGAAGATTAGTTTATCCAATCTGTGCCGCTGCCTCCCGTCACCTGCAGGAGCGGCTGGTGGAAATCCACAGCAGGTGATGGAGAACCTGCCCTGAGCACCACCCCCGTCTCTCACAGCTCAAAGCCTCCCCTTCTGCAGCACAACCTCGTCACTGGAGCTTTAGGGACACAGCCCTCAGCTAACACTGGGGGAATGGAGGGGACGCAGCGCTTAACTGCCTATTTTTATTTTAAACAAGAATTGGAAAAGCTACCAGCAAGGCTGCTTTAAAATGAGACCAATGACAAGCACCGTTTAAAATCTAACGGGCAGGTTTCCTTGTGACACACGGAAAGATATGCAGCAAATGGCCTTAAATGAAAGGGCTTTTTCTTTTGTGATTTTTTGATACTAATATTAGTGGAAATTGCACAGCAAGCCTCCCAAAGCATACCCACGATACTTTTAATACCTCACTTTTACATACAACTGAAAGCAGAACTGTACTATTTTGGTTCTTCTCTCCTGTTCAAAACCACACAAGCTCTGTTAGTCTCTGCTAAAATTCCAGGCAGGTTTGGACAATCCCTCCTCTCCTGCCTCTGCTCAAGCCCCAAGCTCCCACAAACACCCCGACTCCAGCATCTCCAGCACAGGGAAAAGCTGCTGGGAGCCCCCCACCGTTTTTCTGAGCTAAGAATAAGCCCTCTGGATTCCCATGCTGCTCTGTGTCAAATGCTGTAGAATTAAGTCCTCACCCCTCAGTTTCTTGCCCTCAGCAGCCCCACAGCCACACTGCCCCGCCGGGCAGGAGCTCAGAGAACCAAAAAGAAAGCGGTTCAAGGGACACTGTCAAGTGGCAGCAGCACATTTTCCCTCCCAGCCTTTTCTCCAGGTGCACACTCGCTCAGAAGAAGAAGACCCTGAGGCAGGAGTGGTGCGAGGCGCCGTGACTCCGGCTCTGCGGGCACCGGCCGGGCAGGCCCTGGGTGCGCGGGGCTGGGGAGGCCTTGCCAGGCGCTCACCCAGAGGAGCAGTTTGCAGCACCCAGCTCTGGGCTTCCTGGGGAACCCTCCTCATCCTCTGCTTCTTGAAGGAAAAGACATTAATGCATCATTTGCAATGCTAACCACGAAAAAATGAAATCTTCTGCTTCAGCATGAAGCAGGATACGCAGGGAAAGTAACTTTTGCCAGAACAAGAAAGGGAACAAGATGGTTCCTGTATTCTGGAGTACGTTTGGGGACCCAAATGCCCAGACCATCGTCCGGGAGCCGGCGCTCGGCTACAGCCAGACACAGCCCGGGGGGCTCCGGGAGCAGCAGCGACGTTCCCCGAGCGTGGAAGCACACGGGTAACTCCAGGATCAAAACAAACCTCTAACCTCAACTTGCTGATGCAGAACAGCCACGAAAGGATCAGCTTTCCATGAGAATGGAGAACCGAATTAAAACTTTAAACTAAGGTAAATCTTATAATTTTAAAAGACAAAACCAAATGAAACTCTTAATTCACAAGATGTTAAAATCACAGTAGTTATTAACCTAACTTAAATTAACTGCCTTATTATTATAGAAAGTCATCAAATGTACTTAGCATTCTTCAGAGCCTTGCAGTCAATTAATATAACATGAAATTGAATCAACCGGAGCATCTAGAGACGCGGAACCTAGATTTAAATGAAAAATCAGCCCCATCTACCTCAGGTCTGAAAATTTGGGATCACCTACCACCTCTTCTCCACTGCAACAGGCACAAACCCCCATTTATGTCCCGTATCGAATTTACCCAGAAACAAATGAAAGAGTGTGGGAAAGCCATCTCCACGATTAAATTTTACAGCTGAAGCTAAAGCCCAGTGGAGTTTTCACCCTTTGAAGCTCGCTCTGCCTGACTGAGGGCCAGATTTTCTGCAGTGATTGGTACCACTGGGGCCGGATTTTCAGCGCTGCTCAAGCTGTAGCCTTAAAAGCAGCAGCCGGATTTCAAAGCCGTGCTCGACGCCTGGTCTCCCTGCGAGGGACACCACGGAGAGCCAGCTCCCGAAGGAGCCCTCTGCTCCCGAGCACTTTGCAAAATCAGGACTTTGACTTACGTGCTTCCCTGGGAAATGCTGCTGGTTACGGCCTGTCAAAAATCTTGCCCTAAACATAGCTGCTACGCCGCGTTTGTTGCTGGCCAAACCCAATTAGTCTTTATCAGGGCAAAAAAAAAAAAATATGGCAGGGAAACGTTGTATTTTTCTAACATTCCAGAGTATCCTCTGCAGAAAATATGCAAGTTTTTTTACAGTGTTTGTCAAAGAGGAAGAAAGGGCTTGTTCAATGCTGCATGTGAAAGCCACTTACTGGAAAAGATGAAAACTTATTATTGCCAATTTTGAAAAAAGAAATCTTTGGCTACTAATGAATAACTAATCTAAGCTAACAATGTCTGGAAATAGTTTTTTTGGAACACACAAAACTTTGTGACGGATAAAAATTAGGAAATTAAAGCTTATTGTATTATTCCAAATGTAACTGTTTACACTTGAGGAAAAATAATGGAATAATATCCACTTGGAAAGTTTTTATTTTTAAAAAATCCTTTGTAATACTCCCAGAAATTCCCTCGGCCAAAAGCAAATAACTCGCTTCTTAACCAGCTAGAAAAAAGAGCATGATACTACAGGCATGGGCTCAGCATAAAACAAACACACAAATGGCTTTATAAAATCCTTTGTGGCAATCTGGCTGGCTGGTAAACACGTCAAACGCACCGAAACCCACCCCGTGGCACACGGGACGTCCTCAGAACCCACTTTCTCATGAAACAAGCAGCCTTGGATAAAAAGCCTTCTCCCATTTAATGCAGGCACGCCACAGAGGTGCCCAGTTGCCCAGGTTTAGATCTACCTGGGGAAAGCCCCCTCCTCTGAAGTCCTTTGGTGCCCCCCTGCCCCACCATCCCTCCCGCTGGAGCCCCGGGTCCAGAGCAGCCTAACGAAGCCCATCCCACCAACAGCCTAACGAAGCCCATCCCACCAACAGCCTAACGAAGCCCATCCCACCAACAGCCTAACGAAGCCCATCCCACCAACAGCCTAACGAAGCCCATCCCACCAACAGCCTAACGAAGCCCATCCCACCAACAGCCTAACGAAGCCCATCCCACCAACAGCCTAACGAAGCCCATCCCACCAACAGCCTAACGAAGCCCATCCCACCAACAGCCTAACGAAGCCCATCCCACCAACAGCCTAACGAAGCCCATCCCACCAACAGCCTAACGAAGCCCATCCCACCAACAGCCTAACGAAGCCCATCCCACCAACAGCCTAACGAAGCCCATCCCACCAACAGCCTAACGAAGCCCATCCCACCAACAGCCTAACGAAGCCCATCCCACCAACAGCCTAACGAAGCCCATCCCACCAACAGCCTAACGAAGCCCATCCCACCAACAGCCTAACGAAGCCCATCCCACCAACAGCCTAACGAAGCTCAGCCCATCAACGGGCTTCTGGGTGCCCTGACCCCCGGGTACCTCACCTCGGCCAAACCACCCAACGTGCTTCCCCCCGTTCACAAAACTTGTTATTTAGGACTGGATTTTGAAAGTAAATTAGCCAGGGAAACATTCCTAATGTAAGAAAACAGCTGCATGTCTACACAAACAAATAATTTTAATACTTGCAAGTATAAAACTCTCTATCTGCAGAGAGCTCGGGTATTTTTATACAGATTAACTATGAAAGTGGAGAGACCAAGTCATTTGACAATACAATCCTTATTTCCATTTTTATCTATGAGACGTCACTCTTTCAAAACTGTGGACAGATCAGTCTGCTTTCAGAAAAACGACCCTTAAATTCTGTAATATTCCAGATGATTAAGTTACACATTTGCTCATATGTAAATAAAATTTAGTTTCAAAAGCTAATTCTGTAGCTCGTAATCCAAATGGCTGAGACCTGCTGAGAGAGGGAAGGTATATACTGTCTGCTGCTCTATACACTCCCTTGAAATTAAGGAACTTGCTCTAACCTTCAGAGCACAGAGTTTCCAGGTACAACCCAAGCACAGCACTTCTCACTCTCACAATTCTTCTCACTTGTTCCCAAATTGTAGTTCTCTCTGTCCCCCTCCAGACCTGCCCCAGCTCATGTAATCGCGGCAGGTAACGGAGAGACCTGCTGATCAGACAGGGGGGCTTCTCATTTCTGTTTCATTTTTATTACATATAAGTTTGTTAGCTGGTGCCAACACACTGTCATCACAGCACTGTGTCTCAGCAACGATTATGTTGTGACCACAATGAATACCCCCAGATGTCCTATACTGCTGCTTCCCAGCCTGCACAAGCCATCCCAGCACCAGCAGCCGTTACGCTGCCTGCTCCACCAACACGAACCAGCTCCAAAGGATCCTCAAACCTTACCCAAGAAGTTCTTAGTTTCCTCTTCAGGTTCTTGTAAAAGAACATCTTACGTAAGAGAGAAGGCAAATGATGCATTTTCATACTGTGTTACTGAAAACCCTTAAACAGCCTCCAATAACCAAAACATAACACAGAAAAGCCTTCTGAAATCTTTCAGAAGCTGCTGTAAACTTCCTGTCTTTATTAAAAACTTAAGTTCAGTTCCCCTTAGAGTGTTTTTTGGTTTTTTTTTTTTGTATCATCGCAAACATCTTACCATTCATTGGCTACAGAATTTTACCCATCCGGCTTTCAGACCACAGTCATGAGCCATTACGTTAATTCCAGGAAAAAAGTAATCATTCTCCATTTTCTGCAGAAACCGACAACACAAGAGGTCACGCTTCCACGTGTGCAAAGACCGGGAGACCTGAGGGATTTTTTTTTCTTTCTATTCTCATGGCAGGACAGCACATCTACATTGGTGCCCGTGTCAGCACCTGAGATCAAAGCTGAAGGCAGGAACATGAGCCAGCCTGTTTCCATATGACAGAGCCATGGGGATTTACCAGCCCGCGGGCAGCAGTGGGCTCCCACAGCTGGCCCACATCTGGGATGAAGCAAGGGAGTCTTCCCTGGGCAGGGTCTGACCGAGACACAGCACAGGGTGTGCTTGGGTGATACCTGTCTCATACCCGTTAGTGGTGACTCCAGGAGGAACAACACAGTGCGTGTAGAAACTGAGCAGATTAAGAATGTCCAAAGGGCGGCATCAGTTGACTTCTCCCCATAAGTGTTTTCTATTTCAATGAACTAACAGATTCCCTTAAAGTAAACTGCATAAAATACCACGTCCAGGAAAGGACAGACTTTAATGCCCATCAGCTCTACCTCTGAGAAGATGCAACTGGCTGATCATGCATGGAGTGAGAGAAACATCGATGGAATGGAAAGGGGTTAATGTTCAAGGCAGCTGAGAATGGACTAACACTAACCTCTGGGTAGCCTCCAACGTCATGCACGTCGATTCCAAGTAGATGTCCAAGTCCGTGTGGCATAAATATTGCACCCAGATGAACCTTCACCATGTCATCTACATTGCCTTTCAGGATGCCAATTTTAGTCAGCTCCTCCAGATGGACTCTGTCAGCCAGACGGTGCATATCAGGCCAGGCGACCCCTTGGAGAGCAGAAACAAGCAGCTGAGTTAACGATTGCTACAAGCTTTTAAAAACGACTTTTTGAAAGCAGATGTAACACGTGTGCCCTTTGTTTATAAAAAAGCAAAGGTGGAAAGAGCAACTAAATTAGCACAAAAATACTTTAAACGAGTCAAAATCATCTTAAGGTGCCTGCGGAGTGCTGGAGCCCCCAAAGGAGCGAGAGCAGCACCTGGTACCAGGGACCCACGGGAGGGAACGCTGAGACACCGTGTCTGACGCCGCGTCTCACCACGGCTGGGCACGGGCACGCGCACCGGGGAGCTCCCCGAGACCGTGTGTCAACTGTGAAATGCAGTTATTTGAAATGCAGAGCATAAAATATTACCATCGTGTTATTTTCAGTAACGATCATCACATTTAGAACATTTGAGATGGACAGTACTTTTCTACGTATGTAGAAGATTTAAAGCCCACATCTTTCTGGCAAAGACGCTCTCCAGAAATTAATGAGTCCCTTGTGTTAATGGGCTGTGTAAAACACAAGTCCTCTAATTCACGTACTAAAACAGCATTACAAAATACTGTTGGTTGACTAGAGACAGAGTGCCAGGATACATTAGATTTCTATTATTTTGGTATAGGATGCAATTTTGTTTGACAAACTGCTGGGGGGAGGAGGGAGGAAGAAAGCAGCTCTTTTGTTAGTAACACAGTACTGTCTTAATTAGTTCACCATGGCTTTGAGTCATCATCAACAGAGCGGTTGCAGAGTCAAGACAACTAGGGCTAAGGTACAGTAGAAGAATATTTTCCTTGTTCAATTTTGGCATGATTAAACAAATGAAAACCCAGCAATTTTTAAGGCCAAAAACCCCATCAAGTTCCATTTGCTCTAATCCAGTGAAACACGCGGCTCTGGGGTCTTGTGAACACCGATGTTCTATCATAATTACATTTCCACTTTGTGCTCAAAGTCCTGGGGCTTCAAAGCCTGAGATAAAGCCATCCTATGGGAGAGCTCAAATCACACCCGTTGTCCCATATAGGGCTCTGACAGAAAAGCCAGGGATCAATTGAAGAGCAAGTGGCTGCTCCATTCTGCACACCAGTCTGCCCAGAAAGAAAAGCACCTCTAAGCTCGTTAGCACTGATTGGGAGGCAGCTCACTGTGCTGGGCTCCTTCTCCCCATGGGCATCCCCAGAGACCCCCTCCCAGCCCCCAGCCCAGGGGCTGCAGCACCAGTGATGCTTATCCAGGACATTAACTTTGAAGCTTTCGTGAAGTTTATCATAGTTGCAGACACACTTTTTGTGTAAAAAGGTTTATCACAGTCGCAGACATGCTTTTTGTGTAAAAAGGTTAGTTTTGCTACTATCTTTAAACCAATTTATAAACCGATTATACTCCACTGACAGATGAGGTTTGGAAAGGCAGATTGGAGGGTCCTTGGACTTTGACAGCTCGTACCAAAATGAGTCTGCGCTCAGGAAAATCTGCTGATGGTGTGTCTGCTCCATCCTTAATTCTCTGCCAAACGAGATACCGGGGAGCGCAGGTCACTGAACCAGCACCTGGCTCCCAGCAGAGCTCTTCCCAGGGCTAATTAGGCTGCGGTTCGTTACCTGCCGGGCAGCACGTGCTTGGGCTAGAGCCCGGGACAAAACCCACCTTCGACAGCAACCACAGCTCTGGGGATGCCTCGAGATACGGAGTGAGAGATACACAGCAACGAGCAGGCAGGGGATACGTCCGACAATGAGACGTGACAGATCGTGGGCTAATTAAACTATAGACAGAGGCTGTTAGTTCTCAGACACCAGGGGTTTGCAGGCCTGTGAGCTGCTGTGTTTAAAAATAGCAAACTTAAAGCATTACGTTTACTACAACGGGTTTTTAAAAATTTATTCCCATCAACTTGAACGTTATCTGATATTCAAGTTACTAGTACAGAAAAGAAAAAGAATAGGTATTGTTTTACTGCCTTGAAAGTATTTCCTCTCTAATTATCTGTTTGCCAAACCCACCAAATTTCAGATAAAACACCATGTTTTAGGGACTCAGAAACATCATAGAAGGATCTCTGCAGCAGTCTGTGATCTCTTTGGTGGCACTGTTGATAGGGAAGGCTTTTGATCCAAAAAAAAGAAAAAAGAGAAATAAATGCTTCTAGAAATGCAGAAATTCAAAGCATCCCTATCATTGACTGAACATATAATAGCTTTTTAAACAATAGAATTGAAAAGATTAATTGTTATAGATTATACTACAAGCTATTCCTCAGTCGCTGTTAACTCACTGGCATTTTCATTCCAGTGATTATTTTCTGATGTTTCATTAGAAGCTATTCGAGAACATAAAGTAGAAACAGCACACAAAAGTCATTTAGAATCGCTGCGTGGTATTTAGCCACTTTGGTCGCAAAGAGCTCTGCAAAGGCCTAACAGGATTTTTTTGGCCGCTACTTTGGGTACTTTGTGGTTGTAATGTGACAATGATTAAACCACAAATGATTTAGCAGGGGTTTTCTGTTGTTGTAGGGTGGGGGTTTTTTGCCAGCACAGATGTCACAATCCTTCTAAAAAAACACGAGTATGGCAAGGTTGTAGTAACTTCTCCCCGAGTTGTGCTAAGGTTAAGCTACATTTAATCTCCGAGTGTCCACAGAGAAGGGCAAAAGGCCCGGTGTCCCCTGGCAGTGCCACTGCAATGCAGACAGAACACGCAATCCTGCCCAGCCAGCAACCCCCGGGAGCAGAGTCTGCCAACACACAGGGACCCTATCAGACATAAAACAATGGGGCCTTCAAAATTCCAATCAAACCCAGTTTAAAAAACAAACCAAAACATGTTTTAAATACTAAAACCAACTATTTCTTTACTTTTCACTTGGGTGCTAGAGAAGAATCTGTTGTATCTCTGATTTTCAGGCTTTCCTCGTGGCTCCCTAGATGAAACACCCAAGAGATGCTCAGTTTTTGAGCTTGGTTTCTTGCAGCACCAGGTGAGGTGGGGTCTGATGGAGTGAGAATTTGGAGAGGGAAACCAAAATGCTGTGCTCAAACACCAAATGGAAGTTTTAAGTGGTAAACCCATCCTCCGGACCTGCACAGGATGATCTACAAGAAAACATCAGAGACAACACCAAGGCAAGAGTCTGCCATGCTGGAGCCTTAAGAAAAGCCATTTGAACAGATGTAGAGGTGGAGCAAGAGGAGCATCATTCCCCGTCTGGCAGGACACAGCCCTGGGGCTGAGCAGCACCTCGGACACTGAATTCACTGCCTGCTCCCTCCCAACGGGTGCGTCTCCAAAAGAGGAGGAAAAAGGCTGGGGGAAGAAGGGAAGCGCTGGGAGGCAGCGATTGCCGTGTGGAAACTTATCAGTCTCCGAGGCTTAGAAAACCCCTGTTTAGATAAGACTTAGGGCAAACAGCACAATCTGTGTGGAGCAGGTTTGCGCTGACAGCTACAGCCGGTGCGGTGTCAAGGGCTCCCGAACCTTGTACCTCACTCCCACCACAGCCAGGAACGAGCCCGTTTCCCCAGCACTGAACGGGAGGAAATCACTGCTCATCAGACCACGGAACAGAGGCTTATTCCCCCCAAAGTCACTGCTAGAATCAGAATTGTACAATGTTACAGGATTACAACCTGCTACAATTAGGAAAAAGCATTTTTTTTTTTTTAAAAAAGCCTTAAACCAAAATACATTCACTAGAGAAAGGCCAAAAACCCCTGCAGCCAATGTAGGCTCTAAGTCTGTGAAGACTTCTAAATGTATTCGCTTTGTACAAGCAGCACCTTTGAAGAACCCCCACAAGCAGAGTTAAATCCATGTGTTCAGGGGAGTTGGGAACCTGCAGGTTTGCCCCAAACCCCGGCAGAAACTGCCCCCGAAGGTTGTCCCGAGCCCTCCCCACGTGGGGACTGCGGGGCAGCACGGCCCAAATGTTCCAAAGGGCCTGGATTCATGCACTTGGAAATAACTCAGTGTTATTTTAGTGGTGGCTGATGCTGTAACCATTTAGGCCGACAAACCCAGAGTTCCTGAGCACAGAAAGCCCCCCCACCTCCTCTGGGCCAGTCTCAGAGAGTTAATACTCAAAGGGGAACTTAATTATGAACATTAATGCTAGAGAGAAATACAGCCAATTCCATTCAGCGACAAGAGAGAGCAGACTACACCAGCTTTTTAAAACATACCTCGATAAGATTTACTTTCCAATCTGTCTTTAACACAATAACACATTCTTAACAGTAAGGGGAGAAAAATCATACTGTGGTGCCGTTCAGCAGCACTGGTGAGTATCAAGGACTGGCTACACCATGCCCTGAAAGCAGCTGTTCTTCAGAGGAACTGGTATAAAATCTTCAACTTCTGTCAGTAATGTTTTATTTCTGAGAATAATTGTTTTGCTTCAGATATTACGGCAGATTAATAACGATCAGCAGCATTTTGCCTAAAATATGACAATTTGAATGGGAATAATTCATATGGGCATTTTGAAATTATACAAACTGTAAAACGGATTGTGCTCCCACACCCTTCTCTGTTGTGCCATTGTCAAAAGGTCCAATTTCTTTCTAAATGTTCACCAAAATGAGCTACTGCTTTTATACAGCACAACAGAGAAGTGTGCCCACGTGGTGTTCCACCAAGTACAACTCTGGGCTACACAAAATGAAACTCACATGACTTGCACACAAAATACACCCCCCGCACGGGGATGAGCACCTTGGACTTCACTTGGAAGGAATAAATATTAGTAGCAGTTACAATTCTTTTCTTTACGTCTAACAAATTTTAATCCTAGTTGAATACAGTGACAATTACTCTAAAGCTGCACTCAAAATAGTAGCAAACAAAAATAAATCTGAGTTCTACAGAAGTTACAGAACTGTCATGGACAAAAAGAGGCAGTATTCTGTGAAGTTGCCAATGTTGAATTTGTGCATGTTCCTAAGTGCAACTCTGCAGAACCTAGTACCAGAAACAACAGCCAGTAATATCATCTGCTATGTCAAATGCCCCAGCTGTTAGTTTCTAATTAAACAGTTCTTTAATTATTTGGGTTATTCTAATACTCTTAGTACTATTCTACCTGACCTCAATTCTCCACTATTCTTTTTTTTTTTCTCTTTTTGTTAGAGACGTGTTACTAGAACCCAGAACAGGGAATCATACCGCTGCTTTTACTCAGCCCCTACAGCAAAAAGGGACCCTTTCCTGGGAGGTTCTAAGGATGGGCTGGTATCTACCTGATTAATAAAAGGATGTTCTATTTGCTTGACATGCAGGTTTACTTCTTTGCCTGCCATGTTTTTGCCTGCACGTTTTGAAGTCTACCTGACTGTACTTCCTTGCTCATGGATTCTACGGCACTCCTGGCATCAATGAAATCTGCAATGGCTGATCTTTGTTCCTGGAAGAAAGGATTTAAGAGCTTAAAGACCCATGTCCTTGTGTGAAACTTGAGTTCTGGGAAAGCTATAAAGAGGGAAGGAATATTCCAGCCCTAATATGGAGAAGCCTCCACCTTCCACTATCAGAGATATTAGTCCTGGGACAGAGATCTCCTTCAGGACGTTCCTCAACAGCATTTATCAGAAAAGCAAAGCCTGAAAGCCAGAGGTAACAGGATACTCACTCTCTTGGACAGCAGAAGGCAGGACCTGGGGATGTGCATATACCCCTGGGCATGAGCTCCAGCTTGAACTAATGCAGAGCCACAAAGCCCACAGGGAGACCCTACAGCAAGAGCAGAGCCCCGGGGAGGGAAGGGCTCACACTGCACACGAGCTGACGCGGGGAACAACAACTTCTGTGCGTATTTGGAACTATTTTTTATTTTTCGTTTCATTGAAACAAACAAACATCAATCAACAAATATTCCCAGCTGCACAGCTGATGTCTGAACGCAATTTCGGTTCAATGGGGACTTTGGATATACAAGGTTTTTAAATCATATAAATGTAGAGATAGGGAATTGAGTGGCTGCCAACCTGGCCTTACTCAACTGCTCCTTGGGAGCTGTTTGCGAGACAAAGAGATCTTTTTTTTTTAAACTGGAATTTAGGACAATAGACCTTACTGATCGAGGTGTTTTAATTCGTTCTCCCGCTCCCCCTAAATACTAATCTGTATCACTTAGAGACTGAAAAAAGTTTTTCTGTTCTTTTTTTTCCAACATACACAAGTTTTGCAGTAGTACCAGGAACGCGAAGCACAATGAGCTCCATCCCTCCTCCTGTGACCTCCCACCACTCTACAGAGAAGACACGGAGGAATGTTTGGAGGATCCAGTGTGCAATCACACAGGGATGAAAATGGAAAGTATGTGATTGCTCCAATATTTAGCTCATTAATCTTAAAGACTCTGCTTATGATCTAGTGCATCAATCCAAAACAGCTTTAATTGCAAAGCTTAAAGATAAGCATTCTTCCTTTTTACTTCCTCTGAACACAGTAGCAGATTTAACTTATTTGAGAAACTTCGATGTTTCTATAAAGAGAAATGTATATAGAAACTATCTAGATGTAGAAACCATACTGTCCTCATCAACTAGGAATTAAATTTATAGAACTCTAAATTATTAAGATTCTCTAAATGCTCAAGATAACAATCCAAATAACAAACAGCAGAAATCACTCAAAAGGTTGGACATGGTATAAATCCACAGTTATTTGCTAAAGAATACAAAAAGAAGCTACTCCACAGCCTCTTCCCAAAGAGTCCTCGACTGGCAGGTACCAGTGACAGCTCAGCAGCCGTACGGGAACACAGGGACTCAAATCTGGCTAAGTGTGAACACACCTCTCATCTCATTTTGTGGACAAGCTCCAGGTGCTGTTGCTCCCTTCCAGGCTGCTGCTGCCAGCTCGTGTAACAGGAAAATTACGGATGTTGGGGCTGGCAATCCAGAAAGTCCACGCACTCCAGGCCCGGTTATTGAAAGCTAATACGGTAAGTTTAAAGGATAAGTGTGCTTTGTGCATTAAGCACATTTTTCTCAATGCTGTTCTGTTAGGAATAATGAGAAATGCTCAAGTACCTTCACTGGTGAAACACTCAAAATCACAGCAGCAGTCAGCTCTAAAAGCATTTATTTGCTGCCCTGAAAGCAGAATCGGAGAAAAATAAGATTTTCATCAAGCCAGGCAGCTGTTTCAGCTATGAAAATGTATACTTGATGAATTGCCTTGTCTGCAACTTAGAGGCACACAGAGAAGTACCCAATAGCCAGTGCTCTCTAAAGCTTTTTAAGGGTAATTGAGTATTCTTCCCAAAGATGCACACTCCATCCTCCCCTGCAACACAGCATTTCTATTGAGCTCACACGGGAAATACAGGAAACGTTTGAAACCAACCCAAGCACGACACGCGTGTTCCTCACCCTCTGCCTTCAGCCTGTGCCATAAGCTGCCAGTGTAAACACCCGGCGGAGTAACGACTGTCACCACGGGATTAAAGGAATTAAAAAAAAAAAAGTGGAAGATCAGAATACCTGTTTAATCTTATTAGTAACTGTTTATGTGTTGTATCTTTAAAAGTGTTGTATGGCAAATGTGTGTCCTACCTCTCCCCTCCACTGGGAGCTGTTTAAACACGGAACATAATTTTGTCACCTTGTTCCTTTCCAGCACTTTCTAAAATCCAAACGTAACTGCCTTGACAGCCCGAGTGCTGCCACGGAGCCCGTCAGCTCCTGCTGAGGTCACAGACCCGTACCTGGTTTGACGGCGCTCATCACCGCCCGCGAGGACCTCAGCACGGCCTCGTAGATGGCCCTCTGGTCAGGGGTGAACTTGCCATTGGCAGGGAAGGTGCAGGTGATGTCGGAGCCGTAGCAGTAATACTCTCCTCCCATGTCGAACAGGCTGAGAAGGAATCAGAGGGGAGAGAAATGAAAATTTTAACTCCAAAGAAATAGTAGCCCAGAAGACATTCTCTTGCTCTGCGCTCCAAAGCCACCTGCATGTTGGCAGTTGCCCGTGTAACCACCACTCAGATGTTGGTCCTGAGCAAAATGAGAGGACAGCCCCTTGGAACCCCCCGGCAGAAGGACATCTGCAGGGCACGGGGCTTGGATGGACACTCTCAGGGGCTGGTCCTGGATGGGAACCCTCAGAGAACACGGGAAGGAAGAGAAAAAGCACACGAGGAGCACACGGCAAGCTCTTCGGGTCCAATTTCTAGGACCTCTTCTCAGAAGAAAAAACACGTCCTTTCTTCCCTTCCTGAGAAATGCTAGCACCACACAGAGGGTCTAACCTCAAAATTTAACAGAGAAATGTTAATTAAATTGTGGCCTTTTGTATCTGTCAGAACACATCTGACTGTGGAAATAAAACATCCCAATAAAGGCTGACTGCCACTGCTCCCAACATAAACTTTCCTTTACGACAAACTTGCCTAAATTTGAAGGGATTAAAGAAACAAGGATTATGGGAAGATCCAACCAGAAAAGAACATTTTGTACAGTTTTCTGCATCAGAGGTAGAATAAAAAAAAAATGAAGTCGTTTCTTTCATGGGGGACAAACCCCCTGGTTTACCCCTTGAGAAGCAGAGTTATTCCAGACATCAGTCAGTGATTCACCTGGGATTGCTCAGCTGCCAGAAACCCATCTCCCAGCGGTGGGTGAGCGCCAGGTTAGACATCTGCAATACTGTGCTGCTCTGCACACCCTGGTGAGCACCAGGTTAGACATCTGCAATACTGTGCTGCTAAAGCCTACCTGATAAGGCACCGTGCTGGTTCCAGCAGGCTCAAAAATCAGCAAATAACCAAATAACCATCTGGACCAAACAATACTTGAGCAAATAACCCCCCCCCAGTTCATCGTATATGGATTACAAGGCACATTTTGCGTCTAAGACTTTGGTCTCGACACACAGTATTTGTGTGACCTCCTGATTTCTTAGGTAATGAATCAGAGTTGAAATCTGCTAATTTCAGCCTTCTTCCAGCCACCTCAAACAACTGTATGAGACTCTTATCATCACAAGAAATGTAATTTTCCTTCACTGTGTTTGAAAACCTTGGATTTTCTTCCTCTTGCTCCCGCTTCCCAGCAGGGTCAGTAGGACAGTGCAAGCAGAAAGAAGGCGACTCCACTGGGGCACCCTCTCTGCCATCCAGCCTTAATTACAGCAGTAATTAGGAAAACCATGCAGCGTAGCTCTGTTCACACCAGCATACAGGCCAGGTAAAGGTAAGTATAAGTTACTGGGACTTGAGGAGCAAACCCCATGGGTTATGGGCACTGGGACTTGAGGAGCAAACCCCATGGGTTATGGGCACTGGGACTTGAGGAGCAAACCCCATGGGTTATGGGCACTGGGACTTGAGGAGCAAACCCCATGGGTTATGGACGCAGAACTGCCCAAGGCTCTTGGCTACAGGAGCAAACCCCTGAGGAGAACACAATGCAGAAGACCGTGAAGCGATGTATGTACCCGCAGAGCTAATACAAACACTATATACATTCCCTTAAATGTTAAACCAGAAAGTTGCTAATTGAAAAAAGATACACAATAGACAGTAAATGTCAGACCCACAGGGTAAAAAAAAGCCCATGATTTGACACTACCACAGCAACTGTAACCCAGCCTAGCCAAACCTCAGAAGCACAAACCCCATCAACACTGCCTAAGTTTTGATTTTATGGTTAGACTCGCTCCTAAAAATAACTAATGACACACAGAGAAAATCTAAGGGTAGGGAAAGCTAGCTGCAGCAACTAAGAATGCTGTAGGAAGCTGCTACATTCTCTAACATGCCAACAAGATACAGATTTCAGATCAGTCATAAACCTTTCAACCCAGCCCAGACTGAGCCCTGTCAAAGCCACACAGCGAGGTCCGTTGTGGGATCTGCAGCAGTTCTGTGGCCTAACCCTGCTGCATTTACAGGTGTAAGTGTCCACCCAGCAGGGTGACAGGAGGGCTGGAACCAACAACTCCCAGGCTCCCTGCACAGCTCTACTGGAAGCTGGTCCATGTCTACTGGAATTAGACATGGAATTAGACATTAGCCATGCTTTCTATATTCCATGCTTTCCATATTTTACCTGGAGAACAGTTACTCTGAACTTACCACAGGCAAAATTTCAGTTACGTCTTTAACCTCCCAATAATCAGCATTTTCTCAAACCCATTCCTCACTGGGTGGTTGGTAAATAGTATTTCGAGTTAGAGGAGCACTGAGTAATGGAATACAACCATCACTGAGCTGATGGTAGACCCAAACAAGGCTCCCAAGTTTGGAAGCACCATTTGTTCAGGTTTCTTGGCCCCCAGACAAGAGGAGACATGAGGGAAGATGATCTTTCAGATTCCAGCTTGAGCACAACCCACCATCCAGGCTGTACGCCTCACTGAAAGAGCATCCAAACCAAACTGTACCTTTGGGAGACATTTTGGCTCTTCTTGGGAATTCTCGTCCATGTAACTTCAGTTGGGAACATATCCATTAGCTAAAATGTTGCCCAAGACATGGAAATAGCCCAAATATTGTAGTTATCCTGAGGAAATAATGGGAGCCTGAGATCCCAGTTTCATATTTTTGCTTCCCCGGCAAAATAAGTGGTGAAGCACATTTAAGTCGAATAAAATGCATGTGAGCAATCTTCTCCTGCTGATTACCTGGAAAAAGTTTCAAGAAGCAAGTTCCTTAAATCCTGGTTCCTTAGGAAAAATAGATTTATTTTACCCTGAAATTAGATGGTAACTGCTAGTAAACCAGATATTATTAATGTATTTTAGACCGTTCTCAACTGCATGGACAAAATTACCTGCCTGATAACGCAGTCTTACAGGGGTCATGTACAGAAACAACTACTTCATGTTAACTGGGCTCTACCAAATGTAGCAGCATTTAATCAAAAAATTAAATGGACAAATGCAAGCAGGCCTTACAGGCATCTCGGGTCTGTGGCTTACCTTTTAAGAAGTGTTTAATGCAGAATAACACATGCAATAATATAATAAGGTATCTCCAAACTCTATTATAGTTCCCTTTTAGATAAATGAAGTGCTCCACCTCTAGCAGACCGTGTATATAAAAAAACTTAATTGTGAATTCAGCCTTCAATTGAACGAAGGAAAATTTCATTAGAGAGCAACCCTTTCCCCGCTCGTTTTCCAGCAAGGCTGTGATTGCTAATTGCCAATTCCGATGGAGGCAGAGATGTCCCCGGGGTCAGGACGGGGGCCAGGGGAGGAGAGTCGCTGTGGGGAGAGGGGTTGTATGTCAAAGTTCTCCCTGATTCAGCTCGAAGCTGATGAATTCCTTTATTGCACAGCTCAATCCCTCCCAAAATCTTCCGAGAGAGCAGCTCCTCTTGCTTTGCATCACTTTGTTGGGAGCAGAAGCAATGACAACCTGCCTGGCTTCACGTCAGGGTGGAAAGCACACGGTGTAGGAAGCAGATTCAACACTCAAAAGACCTGAGCACTCTCTAAAAATTCCATGTTACTGTTTCAGTTTGTTTTCTAGAATTAATAGGAACCTATACCACAAGTGAAAACACATAGCAAAAATACTGCAAACTCCTTCTTGGAAGCGTGGGCACAGCTCTCCTAAGGGAGGCTTCAGTTCTGAGTATATATAGAATATCTCCTCCCAAACACATTGCAAAACACTCTAAACATTATTAACTAAAACTCAACAATGCAAAGTATGAGGAACATCAGATAACCTGCTAGCTGCCCCGCCGACAGGATGACTTGCTTATGTATCACGCATACGGCGTCAGCCAACAGCATCCCAAACCAAAGCCACCTCCTGCCCCTCTGCAGGAGTCACCTCCAACGACAACCACCAGCACTTCATCCCTCTCACAGGAAAAAGGGCTGACACCACAACTTACAGTCATTTCATACATAAACTGGGACCAAACTGAGGAGAAGCAGCAGAAACCCGTGTCCCAGGGCAGAGCCCCACGGGAAGGTGGGGCTGGAGGTGCCCCTTGACAGGGGCTTCCCAGCCCTTCTGCCTCCCCCTGCTCCGCGTCCTGCGCCCCAGCCAGAGCCCCAGCATGGGCTTTGGAGGAAACACTCAGTCCTGCTGAATTTCAAGTGAATCCAGGGCTGTCAGTCAGTGCTTAACCCAGCGCTCCCCTCCCATCCCCCGGACACAGGACGTGGCCCTGCTGCTTCCACAGAATATTGGCACAGCAAAACGCAAACTTATAGTTACAGTTTTGGCTTTCAAGCCCAGAAAAATAATATGCATTTTGATATTGATTTTAGCTTTCTTAACCTCTGACTGTGCAGCATCACAAAACACTTTGCGTAACATTTTATGTTTGAAAACTGTGGACTATAAACAGCCACGGTTCTTTTCTCCATAAAGGGGCCGTATACCATTTTTTAAAAAAGAAAGCATCATCTTCCTCTAAGCATGTGTTTTACTTTTATAGGCTTGCTGACACTTTTATTGTCAAATAATTTGAAACTGCCAGGCAATGAAGCGAGTTATGGCCAATATCACAATGGGAAGCAGCACTTTGTTTGGGATCTCTGAGCCATGTGTAGGAATCGCTACGATCCTGCCACCGGCCCAGCCTGAGAACAGGCTCACTCCTCGGGAAGCCTGGGCTGCTCCTGGGGGCTAACACCAGAAGCTGGCACCTTCCACAGACACAACTGGAGCTCCTCACCACTGCTGCACCAACAAATTATCCTCCTGCATCGGGAATGCTGCAGAGTGATGACCACAGGTACCGGCATTCCTACCAGACACAGCTTTGGAAACACACCAAGTGGTTTGGAAACAGGGTGGTTTGACAGCAGCCCTTCCACAGAACGATGATATCACCAGTAAGGAAACGGAGAGCTAAGTGACACCTCTTCATCCACCCTGACCAGCCAAG